TCCAGGCACGGGACCAGCTCTGGCAGTGATGCCCACACGGGTGGGTACCGCCCGGGACTCCAGGCACACACGAACAAGGCATAGATCAAAAGTGAACAACAGGAACATAACCCCGGGGAATAAGGGATCTTATAGTCTTGATTTCTTTCCACCCAAGCGGAACGCTGCAACTATCAAGGAGGTTTTCCCGAAGAATCTGACATCTACTGCCCGCTCCAGACAAGGTGGTCGTGGTGCTGATGGCCCCGAGTCTGGAATCTCCAGAAGATTCTGACATGCTGTCAGGGAGGATGAGGAAATCCTAGGGGACAGCCTCCCACGGTGACGGGTGCTCACTCTGCGTGCAGAAGCATCTCTGCCTCTTCCCCCGTCTGTGCGCTCTCAGCGCTAGTCTCCAAAAGCCAAAATCCAGACACCTGTGTCCCAGAAGTGGGAAAGTACTGTAGAAAGGCGAGGAAAGGGATGGTCAGAAGTAAGTCTGTGTGGGAAACAGGAAGGAAACAATGGAGGGGCAGCTGGTGTTGAGTTTTCTGGCACAGTGAGGACAGACTGGGAAAGTTCACGTTAATGTTTATTAACCGAACGCACCTACTTCTGGGGACGGAGCCACGCCGGGCCGCCCTGTGCGTCTCCCACTGTTGGGCGGACTTCCCGCAGGTCTGTGGCCGGCCGGCCTCCTACACATCACACCAGGCAGCCGCTGGAACTTTTACTCACTATTTAAATAGACCCCAACCCATACTGCTTCAGCAAAACATTTAAAACTACTAAAACACAGGTAGGTCAGGGTTGGCTTTTATTTTTAAAATAAATGTTCTAGGATCAATAAATACACTTTAAAATCCACTTCATTCATAGTTGGCATTTAATGCATGATTATTTCAATTAGTTTCTTCATGCTCTGTATTTCCTTAAGATAAAAAGGTTTTGTCCAACTTACTAGTTAACACCTTTGGTCAAATTTTAAGGAGGACGTGATTTTTGGAAAACAGTAACATTTCCAGTATTTCAAGGTGAAATTAACTGAGAGGCTAAATTTGTAAGAGGCTGAGTTCCTGAGGCAGAAATGCTTGTGACCAGCTATTTTACTATCCAGGACGGGTCCTTAGAAATTTTCTCGTTCTCTGGTCCAACGAGAGCCAGGCCGTGTGTGCTCTTCCCCACTCCGAGGTACCTGGAAGGAAGACCCCGCGTGAGGGCTGCTTTCTGAGGTCGGCAGGAGTGTCCGTACTTCGGTGTTCCCCTGAGCCCCGAGCACGTGAAGGCCCTCCACACGCTCACCTGTCGCTCACAGCAGTAAGGCCGTCATGGCCGACAGCGAAGAGCTGCTCCCTGTGCATCTGCTTCATCTCGTTGGAGAGGCCGTATAAGAAGTGGTCCAAGCCTAAAAGTGAACCCATGGGTACAGCTGGGAAGGCTGGCCGGGAGACGGCGTGCACGTTTCAATAAAGGGGCTTGCACACCCGAAAGAGCACACCTGACCTCTACTTCCCCAGAGCCAGGCCAAGTCCTACAGGCGCCCACCCTGAGTACACACGAAGCTTCAGTAAGGAACACGTAAGCCTAATCTGTGAACGAAAGTGACACTGCACAGGGACGTGGCCATTCTCACGATGCCAAAATGTCCTCCTCCAGCCCTAATGGCAAGCTTCACCGCTGAGGCCCAGACATTTGGCTTCGCCCCGCCTCAGGTTATTGAAGCTCTGGGATGATACGGCCGGATTCATTTGAAATGGCAACCATCAGGTGTCTATTTTTTTTTCAGACAGGGTCTCACTTTGTAGTGCAGGCTGGCCTTTAACTCACTAAGTAGCCCAGGCTGTCCTCAGACTTGAAGCAGTCCTCTGCCTCAGCCTCCTGAGCGCTGGGATGACAGGGATGCACCACCACACCCGGCTGGTACCCTTTACTGGAGCTCAGGAGTCCTGTTTTTAAGGTCATGGTTTAGGCTGTCAAACATGAAAATACTAACACAAAGCAGTACAGAGACATGGGAAAAACTGAAATGGGAGCTGCTGCTTGTAGTCCATTCCTGCCGAGAAGCAATCACTCAGAAAACTGTGTGTGGAGCTGTCTGGCAATACTGTGCCATGTATCAAGGCTCCCACTCACTCAAAATACCTTTGTCTGAAGGAGCAACAGGAGCGTCTACAGCAGAGAAAACGGAAAGTTTGGCTTCATCGATATCCTGCTGTGTGAAGTCTCCAGCCTTAGCCCAGTCGACAGCCTTCTCGAAAGACTGCAGTGTTTCTACTGAATTTGGGTCCCTGGGAAATCCAAAGAGTTTACTGCTGAAGCATTTTACTAATGGAAAAACTTAGTAATAAACAGGTGTCAATAGTTTTTCAACATTTTGTTAATGGATCTATGTTAGCACTCCATATTCCAAAAAGCTCACCGGCAAAACCAATTACTGTGTGCACAAATTTCAGTGTAACCATAGAAACCTCTCAACATTCTCCTCTCTCAGTGACCTGGTCTATCCGCCCAGCCTCATCACTAGATTACTTAAACACACGCTTCCATGGTTCTCCTCAGCAGAGGATGCCACATGGGTGAAGGAAAATCAGCACAGAAATGAAATTATGGAAGACACCTGGGAAAGGGAAAGGTTACACAAAACCCTTACACAAAATATACCCAGAATCGTCTAGAGATTACTCCTATGTGGGACCAGTTTCAGAAACACCCTCCTGTCTTTCTGCACACTGACACAGGGTTGAAGACAGTTTCGCAGGGAATGCGAGCGAGGACTTAGGTTGTGCTTCCTCCACCTTGCCTCATCACGGCTCCGCACAGATACAATCGGGTGGGACAGAGCTCAAGGCGGCTGCGATGCGGAGAACTCAGGAGTGGCAATAAACAGCTCACCCTGGGTATCAGCACACATGACCTCAGGCAGGGGAGCCTCAGAAAACCAGGAACTATAGAGTCAGTGGCTAAAGTGAGACGTGTGTGTACATTCACATGTGAAACAGTGAAAATAACAACTGAGGCTGGGACTTAGCTCAGCGGCACAGCGCGTGCCTGGCAAGCAAAAGGTCGAGAGTTCAATTCCCAGTACCGGAAAAAAAAGAAAATAACAACTCACCTGTAAGAGTAAAATGTGAAAATTCCATTATAGCTGAGTTTAGCACCTCCAGCATAAGCACCCCCTTTTTCTCGAATTTCTGTATGCAAGAATTTAGTAGTCATCAAACGGGCAAGAATCTTAAGACTGAAATTGAGGATTAGAAAGTCCAGGTTAAAAACAACATGGCTAATGAGAAGTATTACATATAATACAAAGTAATCAAAGAGATACTGAGGATATAATTAAGTGAAAACAAAAATCAAGTTTAAAGCACCATAGTTTCTACATCTGTGGATTCAAGCACAAATGGAAGCATTTTTTTAAAAAATGCACCTGCATAAAGTTTGTCTCATTACTCCCTAAATAATAGCATAGTAACTATTTGTATACTATTGACACTATATTAGGTATTATAAACAACGTAAACGTGATCTGAAGTGGCCTGGAGGGAGTTCTAAACAAGCACTACACTACGCTACTTTATACCAAGGGTGTGAGCGTCTGCAAGCCTGGTATCTGTGTGGGGTCCCAGAACTGACCCACCAACAACCCTGAGACAACAGTATGGGTTATGGACCCCACACACACACACACACACACACACACACACACACACACACACTTTTCTGTAATGAACCAAAACAAAATAATGTGAGAAAGAACCATTTTCTGACTGGATCACAGGGATTGGACAGAAGGGGTGGTAGAGGAGGAATATCAACTTTTCCTCAAAATATCTCTATGAATCTTAACTTGTTATCATACACATAAGGCATTTTTTAAATATGATAAAAAGAAGTTATTGATTTTTAACGTGAAGGCAAATGTATACATGATCATTTATTGAAATGGTCCATGTGAGAATCTCTTGGATAGGTTTTTATACGCATCCGTCCCTACAAAACCATGTACAGGATACTCCAAAAAAGCAAATTGCTAGTATTACAGCCTATTTTCCTGCTGCCTTACATGTGCATGGTAATAGCTGATCCTCTGGAAAAAGATGGTTCTAGAAAGCATAGTAACGTGGCTGAAGATCGAACAGCCCTATGGACAAGGAGCCGGGACCCTGAAGTCTGTGGCAAAGCCCAAGGGCTGTTACCTCCCCCGGTGGGGAGACTCGCTCCCTGATCCCCACCACCATCACCCTTTCCACAAGACGTAGCGGCTACAAGCCAGGTGAGAAGTCAAATGAAGGAACGAACATAAGCCTGTCCCGAAGACTGCGGCGGGCAGTCACGATGCTCTGTGGGCCTTTCAGGCCAGCCCGGCGCGCAGGGGCTGCGGACCGCACCGGCCTGGGCTCCGCCCCAGCGGGAGCCGTCCGTCAGGTGCAGGAGACAGGCCCTGGAGAAGGGGCCTGCACTTGCACGAAGGACTGATTTCATCCAGCTGTGCATTATTTTCCTTAAAATTTTCTACTAATTTTATATGACATAAAAAATACATGTTCATTGTTGAAAAACATAAAGGGAAAAAAGACCTGTAATTCCATTATCCAAAGATAAACTCAGAATACTTTAGCGTTTTAAATCTGTATTTTCCTCAGAATAGCAGAAAAACTTACCACCATTCTGGATGGCACAGCATAAAGGAATTTATTTTCTACAAATACACAACAAACAGATTCGACAAGCCACATTTTACAGTATCTTTCCACCTCGAAACTACCTCTCGTACCTCGCGCGGTCCACTGCTCAGCTCCGCGCTCTCTGGTGGGGCCTCCCGCCCCGTGCGGGGCGCTCCAGCCTCCCCTCAACCTGGCCGCAGCCCGGCGCCTCTCTCGGCTTCCTCTCAGGCGGGCGGAACGGGGCGTCTGACTGCTCCAGGAGGAACCAGAAACAGCCTCCCCGAGCCGCGCCCCAACCCCACGCCTCTCCTTTCTCCCCGCGGAGCTCTGCTTTGTTCTCGTGTGGATGACACTGACCTCGTGGAGGGTGCAAATGCAAGCACAGGGCTTCAACCTGCCCCGGGTACCACAAAGTCTCAGGCCTCAGTTTAGGCATTTTTCAACCTACAGACGAGAGTGAGTTGGCTGTCTTGAAAGGAGCTAACGCTGGGCTCCTTGCTGTCTGTGCTGTTCCACAACTGCCTCAGGGATATACACTCATTCTGTTCACGGGTGTGGGACATTCTGTCCAGAAAGGTTTTGTTGTTTCCACACTATTGAGGATGTACTTTAAGTTTTCTTCAGAGAACCTCTTGCTGACTAGGCTCAGTTGGTTATAGCCAGACCCTGCACCTAACAGATCAGAATCACCTGGCACAATCCAACAAAGTTACTACAGCAGGGCGTGGTGGCGCGCACTCAGGAGGCTGAGGCAGAAGGACTGCTGTGAGTTTGAAGCAGCCTAGGCTACAAAATGAGTTCAAGACCAGCCTGAACTGCATAGCAAAACCTTGTCTTAAAAAGACAAAAAAAAAAAAGTTATTGTGAAACTTTCTGTAATGAAAAACATGCCTTTCCACCTTCTAACATGCTGAACAAACTCAGCTCTTACCTGGCATGGTCTGGGTGTACGTAGGGGACAGTTCTGACACATTCTCCAACGTAGTTCACCGGGAAAGGCATCAGGAGATGTGTTTTCATCTGCCAGGGTTTGAAAGTGGGCTCCTGAGAGACGAAGGTACAGGAATGAGCCCGGATGGTACAGACCTCCCAACAGCCCACAGGTGCTAAAACTCAAATGCTGTGAAACTGCAGCCTATAGCTAGGCGCTCCTATGTAAAAGCGAGAAACCCCAGTCATGTTATTCCGTACAATATTTAACTTCAAAGTGGACACAAGAGATTCCAAAGCTAAAGTGATTCCTAAACAACCCGTTCTCCATCAGGTGCAGCGTAATCGGTTCCCCGGGAACACACCCCGTGGGGAGCCGGGCGGATGGCACCTTTACGGAAGCTGAGTGAGGGGAAGAGGTCCCACCGCGTGCAGGAAGGTGCACTGACGGCATTCAAGCCACTGCAACACGAGGCGAACTACCAGGTAAGGTGACCACGGAGTAACCAGCGTCCTCCTCCCACAAGGACCGGGCATGGGGCACTCACTCCGCACTGGCTCAGGGGAAAAGCTCAGGGCGGCAGCAGTAACACACAGTAAGTCTTCGTCCTAAGAACACGCGCTGCCCCAGGAAAGGCTCGGATGGAAGGATGGCCACCGAGGGTGATTAGCACAGCACAAAGCAACAGGCACACTCACTCGGAAGCCAGGGGCTCGCGCGCACTTACCGTGACCAGCTTTCGTACCATCTGGGAGCCGTCAGCACCAGCGCCGCTGGGTGTGGGTTTCTGAAAATAAAGTGTTTCCAAGAGAAGCAAGAAAAACGCAAAGCTCACTTAAAGTAGATTAGAAAATATGTTTTAGAAAATTCAGAGCTAATGACAAGGATCAGGGCATATCTGCTTAGCTGTTTTAAATAACAAGATGTTAAAGGTATTAAAGAAGTGAAATTTTCTTATAGATTTTTCAGGTGGTCGATAAAAGAGGTGCTAGTGAAATGCTTCACGAAGAAGACGCTCGACACTTCCCTCCTCTGGCCTTTCTGGTCAGAAGGCTGATGGAGTGCAAAGCGGCCGCCCCCAGAGGCCTCCACTCATGCGGAGGGCAGGAGGCTGAGGAGACACTGCAGAGCACTCCCTGTGTGCAGGGAGGACACGTGAGCAGCAAAAGAGAAAACGACAGGAATGCTTGCAGGACCTGCACGCCGCCACCCTTCCCTACTGCAAGCGCAGGCTTCTCTGCTGATGCTACGAATCAGACGGAATCAGATTCGATTACTAGTAACTGCTGCCGTTCCACAGAAAAACCCAAGAATTAGTGAATCACCCTGAAAAGGATTTTGCCATCTATGTCTTCCGAAGCCTAACAAACAGCAAGAGATTTCACCAGATCACTGTTTGGGACTGTTTTCATTCTACCACATCCCAAATCGAAGTCTGTCTTCCCTTATGAGGAGACCACTCATGATAAGGCACGAGGAACTGTAAACAAGCGCTGAGTCTAAGGCCAAACACCAGGGTTTGAATTCACTTCTTTACTAGCCCAGTGTTGGAAAAGTTACCTAACCTGTACCTAAGATTCTTCAGGTATGGGATGGTGGACTACTAACACCTCCACAGTGGATGGTTTTGAGAATCAAACAAACACATGTAAAAAATAAGAACGACACCTGGTGTCTGCGGGGCTCAGCGTTCACCAGCTTTGTAAGTAGCCTGTTACCTCAACCACATGCGGGCGGACAGGTTTCCGTTCCTTCTTACTTCCACGAATGCTTCGAATGAAGTTCGCCACCTCCTTTTCCGCCTGAGACATCTGGTGAGGAGTAGCATTCACTGAACATCTGCTTAAATATTCATGGTTAATAAAATCAGTATTACAAAACATGAAACACTATTTTACTAACTCATCACATTTTGTAGAAATAACACAAGAAGCAAATAACATTGCTTTTGTATAAAATAATATTCAAAAACAAAGAAACGGTACCCAAATGTGGAAATATGCGGCTGTCTTACTTCTCCACGGTATATTCACGTTATAAAAGATATCACAAATTTCAATGTGTTAAGCTAATAAATAGCCATTAAAATGTAAAAGATGGTATTTTTGCCTCTAAATTCTCTGTTCTTCTGAAGGACACGGAAAATATAGTGCATACTAAGATCTGCCAACACAGTTTCTTAGTTTGCTACAATAGTATAAGTCAAGAACTAATTCTATAACGCCAAAGTATTTTTTGGGTCTTGTAAGTTTATACAATTAGAAATTCAGTAAAGGTACTGTATCTAAAAACTAGTTAACAAAATGAGATCAACCTTAAGATCTTTTTTTAGAAACAAATCATGAACCCACCTCAAATTATCACATTTTAATAGATGTTTCTTGATCCGTGGGAACATTTTCAGGACTGGTGTGATGTCTGTCATTTCTGCAATTCTCTTCATCAACCTCACCTGAACCAATGGAATCAAACACATAGATATCAAAAATCACAGATTCCTTTTTCCTCAAAAACAAACATCCCTGATAAAAGACCACCTGAGCAAGAAACATAATCTCACTTTGCACTGATGTGTTGTATGTCAGCAGAGGGAGGGGGAGTACTGGGGGGGTAGCACAAAGGAATAACTTTTCCTCATGAAATTTGGTCAATTAGAAAGTGAGGGCTGGGGATTTAGCTCAGCCACACAGTGCCTGCCTGGAAAGTGTGAGGTCATGAGTTCGATTCCCTGTACCAAAAAAAAAAAAAAGCAAGAAAAAAGAAAAAAAAAAAATTAATGGCTGGGGATTTAGCTCAGTGGCACTGCGCCTGCCTGGCAAGTACAAGGTCGTGAGTTCAATTCCCAGTACTGGGGTGGGGGTGGGGAAGAAAATGAGCCCTTCTGATAGAAAAAACTTATGACCAGAGAACAGCAGCAACTCTGGAAGCTCCAGTTAAACCAAGACAGCATGCCTTCCCAACCCCACCTGATCCATCCCGCTGAAGGTCTCCGCCAGGTCCCCTGCAGGCGTGAGGGTCTTGCTTGCTCGAAGGGCCGCGTAGACATGCCCAGACTCCGGGATCCCGTTTGAGAGCTCCTGCGCAGTCATCTTCACCAGCACTCGGAAGTGCTCCTCCTCCTCAAAGGTCGGGCTACGGAAAAGACACACACAATAAACGCCTGGAGACGGGTCCATGGCCCCTTCGCTATCATGGGAAATCTATTACGTCTAAGTTTTCAGACTATTTCAACATCCTCAGACATTTTACAAATCCATAGGAATTACAAGTAAAATCAGGCTAGGAAACCAACAAGCCACAAGTAAAATTTCCCACTTCAAAAACACTTCCAAGCATCTCAGAACTAGATTTCTGATACATCCCAACTATACAGATCTTTGGTAAATAAAATTACTGGTTAAATATTTCAGTCCACAGATGCATCATGTCTGGTAGGTTTCGATCCAGGCAGAGAGATGAGAAGAGTATACCCTAAATCAGGAAAGGAAAAAATACAAAAGCAAAACTTAATTATGGTATAATTTGAAAGAGAAAAACCACACTGGAAACACACCTTCCCCTCTAGCTGTGGTCGAGAAACGAGAGGCTACCTGCTCGTAGGTGTCCAGATGGGACTCGTCAGGGAGCACCTGCGGAGAGACCGTCATGCCCCCTGTCTTCAGTTCTATCTGCTGCGCTTGCTCTCTGTAGTTAAGCTTGCCGCAGCCCAGCCTGAGAGCAAAGACATATTTCCTGAATTACCGAGACAATCTGTATCGAGTCGTTTTTTAAAACTGCATCATGAATTACACATCACTTATTAAGAGCTACATAATATACATACATATATTCATTAACTACCATTTCAAAACCTTTCTTTTTAGACTACAAAGGTGACAGAGTCCGAATGCCTTGTGGCACTCACACCCTACGCACCGGTCCCATGCCCGCTGTCCTGGGGAAGCACGTCTCATCTGGTTCCGGTTTCCAGGCCACAGACACTTAGGCAGCCAGTGTCCAGCACGGAAGTAAAATCCTAACTATGCCTTTCCAGCCTAGGCCTGTAAATCTTTTGTGAGTGTTCTCTATTTTCTCCTTCCAAAATATTCTGGCACGTACTTCATTTGCTGAAGTATCTGCTATGCCTTGGGAGGGGAAGGGATCTGAAAAACAAGCCTTTATAAGAAAAGCAAAATTCCTCTCAGGATCAACGCTTTTTAATGAAACATTCTCACCAAGGCTCCTAACACAAGAAATAATCTGACTCAAGAGGATAACTGTGAGGTGTTTTGTACAACTGCTACAAAAGGACAAGCACTGGGAGCTATGGGGGGAAAATCGCACGCGTTTTCCAAAGATGAAGGACATTTTCCTTCCTGTCCGCTCCGAGGCTGGGGCGCAGGCCCACAGGCCCCGACCCTGCCTGCCCGCATCCCCCGCTGCACAGAGTACAGCAGGCTCCGCCTCAGACCCTGCAAAGGCACACGTTCCCTCTGCCCTCCGGAACGGGGAAGTCCACGGCTCTGACGACCACCTACCCTGCGCCTCGGCCCGACACTGCGCAGACAAGGCACAGGCACTCTACGCGCACTCAGGCAGCTAAGTGCTCCCAGGGGTACTCACACTCCTACTTACGGGGACGACAGCGCCTGCAAGTTGGCAGAGACAAACTAGAACGCCGTCCCCACGCCACCTTCTCGCAGGACAACCAAGGCCTACACGAGTGATGGTGAATCGCTTACACTTCCTGATAGAACAAGTATTCCTTTTCAAATCTTAACAGATCGATGTTATTGCCCCAGTTGTATCTTGTTACCTAATGCCCAATTCAGAAATATTTTAACATGATATATTAACAGCAAGAAAATATAATTTCCACATAAAACAAATTCCAAACAAATGTGTGGTAAACTTATAGACCGTAACACAAAGTTTTGAAAATAAAATAATTCACGGAAAAGTGATTACCACTGATGCATTAAAATAATATATAT